ATAAAGAACATTTGACATGAGAAAGGAGTGGGGAACAAGAAATATTATCAAATAAATTATTAAGACTCAGAATGAACATTTGTGCAAGAGATTGCCTGCAATTGTCAGGGAAAAATTAAAAAAAAAAAAACTGTCCAATATGTCGAAAGAAGACCTGCCTGCAGGGTAGTGTGTGTGTGTGTAAATATGTAGAGATGTAAGCATATCTCGGTGATATTATAAACTTGGATTAAATGATAGGAGCAAAACAGCAGAAAACTAGATCCTTCTTTCAGAAATAGATCTGGTAGAAGTAGAGGTGTGTTTGTTATTTGTTAGTGTTGTACTTCAAAGAGTTTCAGGAGCAGCAGGCAGTTGTGGGTTAAGCCATGGGTGCTGGTTTAAGTCCCAACTGCTCACTTTCAGTGCCTGGGAGGAAGCTGGTGGTGGCTCAAGGACTTGGGCCTTCCACATGGTAAACCCAGAATACAGTTATAGGTTCCTGTCTTTGGCCTTACCCAGCCCCAACTCTTGTGGGCATTTGGAGAGGGAACCAGTGAGTGAAGATATCTGTATTTCTTTCTCTCTCTCTTTCTCTCTCTATCCCTCCCTCCCTCTCTCCCCCCTCTTCCCCCTCTGTCTCCCTCCATCTCTCTGTTACTCTACCTTTCTAATAATACATGAAATGAGTGAATGAATAAATAAAATTTTTAAAATATTCCAATGAAGAAATTTTAAAAAGTTATTGGAAAATTTTCATAAAGACTGTTTCCATGTTTACCTGCATGAAGATGAAAGAACTGTTGAATGGAAAAAGATCAAATTCCATGGACCAAGACTCTAAAAGAAAAGATGATTCAAGAGTAACAGAAAACTTTCAGACATCAATGTGTCACTGTACAGCCTCAGTGATATCAATTTGTAGAAGTATTTGCTAAATTGCTGCCAGTACTCATTGAGTAATTGCAGAAAATACGGAGGATGGCAGTGTCAGTAAGGGTTCATGGAAGCAGACAGAAATGTTTTAAGCAAGCAGAGACGTAATGTGGTAAACCATGTGCCTTCAAGAGTGCTGGGAGGCCTGGAGAAGTAGCTTCTAGTCTGGGACCCCCAGAGTGATGCCTGGACCCTGGGGAGCTGCATCGCGAAGGAGCTTCCCCTCTGAGAGTACCCCACAACCACCAGTTTTCCAGAACACGTGATGATGTCCTAGATTAGGGAATCCTAGAGCTGGGACTGTGCCTGTTGTGCTGCTGTCACCGCTCCTTCGTGCAGGGCCTGGGGCCTGGAGTTCACTGCTGCCTCTGCATCAGCTCCTTTTCTCACCCAGGAATCTGGAGTTAGGAGAAAAGCCTCACATCTCCTTAAGACCAAGCACACCAACCAAGAAATGTCAGAGAAGGACCACCCTGGCCTCTGTCTCACAGATCTCTCTGAGGGTTGTGTGCAACCCTCCAGGGCACTGGCTGCCAAGACATGTGGGAATTGTGCATTTAACTCTGAGGTTTGTATTTTTTTTTGACAGGCAGAGTTAGACAGTGAGAGAGAGAGAGAGAGAGAGAGAGAGAGAGAGAAAGGTCTTCCTTCCATTGGTTCACCCCCCAAATGGCTGCTACGGCCGGCGCGCTGCGCCGATCCGAAGGCAGGAGCCAGGTGCTTCCTCCTGGTCTCCCATGCGGGTACAGCACCCAAGCACTTGGGCCATCCTCCACTGCCTTCCCGGGCCACAGCAGAGAGCTGGACTGGAAAAGGAGCAACCGGGACTAGAACCCGCAGAGTGCTGGCACCACAGGCAGAAGATTAGCCTAGTGAGCTGCAGAGCTGGCAATGTTTGTATTTAATACAGGAAGAATGAAGGCGGGGGCAGGGGGGCGCAAGTGGAGTTCAGTGAGCCAACACGTGGCATGCCACACAACTGGATAGGTAAAGTTCTTATTTCTTTAGAGGAAAAGAAAGAAGATACAAAACAAACCTACTCGACATTGGTTCTTATATTGGTTAGAAAAGAAACCCTGTGAGCCATTAAGAAAGTACATGGCAAACACTTGGAGTAAAGCTTTAATTATAGCTTATTAAAGTGGGAAGTCAGCTGGGTGGTCCAAATGTATCCTGATTCTAACAAATATTTTCCTGCAGTCTTTTGTGTTATAGTGGGACAGATTTGAGCAGTGTGTTTAAGATGGTGGTACAACTGAATCAACTTCTAATTAGTAGAGTGACTGGAAATTACTGACTGGTATGCACCTGTCCCATTGTTGCCTACGCTGTAGGAATTTATTCTTTATCTTGCCTTGCATCACATAATAACTCTGAGAGTGACATCTGTTTTAAAAAGAGCACTCCCCATCCCTTACTGAGTGCTCCCTCTAGGTGAGGCACTGTGGTGTCCTGCCAACTGCATTACTCCTTACAGCAGTCTTGTCAGGTTGTTGTTATCACCACTTTAAGTGTAAGAAAACTGATGCCAGAAAATGGCAATGATTTGCTCGCAGCTCCACATCTAATAAGCAGCAGAGTGGAGATTCATGCCTAAGATTGCAGAGGACATAGGAAGAAGAGAGGGAGGCTACCACCACGTTTTTAAACCAAACTGCTCAGTGGTTTGCCCGCCCGGAGGGTGGCATGGTCTGTTATCCCCCATGTGGCAAGGGGACAGCTCACTGTCTTGCAGGATCTGGCCATTATCTCAAGGACTTGAATTCGTATTGACGAATCTCATTATCATCATCATAGACAAACCAGATGCTGGTTTATTAAATTATGGGAAATGGAAGCGTCAAGCTGGCCAAATATGGGCAGTGTTGTTGCATGAAGCATTCTCAGGGAGCACCTGCTGAACAGAATTGCGATTGCACAGGAGGGACGCAGCCCGTGGCCACCAGGATCCTCTTCAGCTGCAGCCTCTGACAGTAGCAAGAAGGAGGCATCCGCGGGCCTGACTGGCTGGATCCCTGGGCCTCCCTGGGAGGGCACTTTCTCATTTGGCCTGGCAGTGCCAGAATTTGTCTCTCTGATTCCTTTGTCTGCCTTCATGAGTGCTAACTGTTCTTCCCTTAGATATTTTAATGACCTCAGTGGGTTTTGGCTGAAGAGTCAGCCTTTTTCTTTCAGGTGACTCATCAGTTTTCTGCTGCTACAATTACTTAGCATCAGAAAGGAAGTTTAATTTTTGTATTTCCAAATTTACTATGTCCTTGTGCATTATGTAAGATACAAATTCAATTTGCTCTTTCCTTTCAGCGGTGCTGGGACTGGGAGGTTAAAAAGAACAAACACATAAACTATCAGTGCTGACACATGTGTTGTAGCAGAGGTACAAGTTTTTAAAAAGGTGACATAAAGATGACTTTAAGACACAATGGCTCGCTGTGGGTCAATAGTGTGTGATGTCGCTATCAAAGAAGCCAGGGCAGACCACCTGTTTCAACTAAGAGCAGGACTGTTGAATGAAGGAGTGAATGGACATGATAGCCACACCATAATCTTCGGTGGCAGTCCATTCTAGGGGCAGCAATGCTGATTTCGGTAAGGCTCCACGTTTTCAGAGAATATTGACAAACTGGAGAATATGCAGAGGAAGCTGACCAGATGGTGTTGAGACTTGAAGCCACATTCTGACAAATAGGACACCTGTAGGACACAGGTGATGTTTACCTTAAGGAAGAAAAGTCTTAGAGGAAAAAATAATAAAAAGTGAGAGTTACCAAGTGCTTACTCAAGGCCAGGCATTGTGATGAGGACTTTGGTGGATTCCAGACTTTATGATTGTAGCACAATGGGAAGGGGACATTTTGAGTTTCCCTGGAAGGCAAGGATGATAGCAGTCAGTGGAAACCACAAAGATAGCTCTGCCTATCAGAATGACGGCATTTCTACCCTCAAAGCTGGCCAGCAGCAGGACGAGCTGACTCGATATTACTAGGCTCCACGTGTTTAGAGGTACTGCAAACACAGACTGAGAACATTTTTGGTGAAGATACTTAAGAGAGGAATTAGTATTAAATGAAGACATGGATCAAATCAACTCTAAGACTTTGTCTAAGCTTATTGTGTGAGTGTATCAACCTCTTACAGTACATAACACGCCCACACCCTCTTTTTTGGGGGGGGATTTCAGTTCGGTGGTCTGAGCCCTAAGTGGTCAATGTCACTTCCAATTTAGTAGATGAGTTGTACGGGATCTTGGTTTTTGTGTTTCTGCCTGGGAACTAAGACAATATCAGAAGAATTCAAAGTTGCAGGGATAGGAAACAAATATTTTGTGAGTAAATCATTAGGTACTATAGCAGGAAGATTCTCTTTCACTTTCTCTTTAGATTTCTAGACTCACATATTCTGAGTATGAAAGAAACAGTATCATATATTTAGATGGACTTTTCAAAGTGTGATAAGTTATTTTTTTCAGACAGTTTGAAAGTTTCATATGTTAGTAGCATTTATTTCTATATTTGTATTTAAATGTACCCATCTATGTTTCTAAAATCTCCTTGTATCACATTCCTTATTTTGAGTGCATGTTGATCATCAACTAAGCTATGCTTCCATAATAGCTAATGTCACACCTTAATAACCGGCTCAAAGCTACTGGGAAAGAATGATGTCCATTAAAAAAGCCAAAGAATAATGGAGTCTTATAGTTAGAGAGAAAACTTAAATATCATATATTAATAGATGAAAAATTCCAGTCCAGAGACTGACTTGGTTGTCCCATGGTTTGCGGAAAATGTGTAAAACTTACTTTCTTCTTTATCCCTTCATTCTCTGAAGCAATTTTATGCCGTGTTCTTGGCAAGGTACACCCCCCAACACCACCACCACTTTTCCTCTTTCTTTCTCAAGTTAAGAAGAATTTTTTTTTGTATCAGTCACTTCTTGACTTACAACCTGATTGGCAAATGGCTCGAAGAGATGATATCTGAGCAGGATTCAAGATTGTATTTTCTTGACCCCTGCACAAAGGTAGGCAGGAGCTAAAAAGTATCCCTTGTTCTTAATCCTGGATTGCTCTTGAATCTCTGCAGTGCTGCCTATGATGCTGTCCTTGACAGAAATGTGGCCATTAAGAAGCTCAGCAGACCCTTTCAGAACCAAACGCATGCCAAGAGAGCTTACCGGGAGCTGGTCCTCATGAAGTGTGTGAACCATAAAAACGTGAGTTTCCAGGTTATTTTTAAAGCTCGGGCAGTGGGAGCTTGTGAGGTTGGGGGAAGAAAACAAGGGTGCCAACTTGAGTGGGAAGGACTTTCTTCCCTTAACAATTTCTACCTCTTTAGATTGTTTATCCTGTCCATATGTTGCATTTCATTTCGCTGTCCTCATGGTAGCTTTTGCTTAAAAATTATCTAAAAACCATATGGCATGGAGGAGATGAATTTGATAGCTATTTCCCTCTTAGAAAATTAACCTTATTTGGTTTTCTTGCTCCAGATTAATAATAGAGCTTCATGCTTTGCAAATAAGCAAAACCCCCAAACAAACAAACAAGCACATACAATTTTAAAAATCCAGTGGAACAATATACTGCATTTCCCTATAATTTAAATTTCCCAACAGGTGAAGAATTTTATTTATGATGTTATTGCTTTTGTGTTCCAGGTGTAATCTAGCAGTGGCCTCCAACTGTTCAGTGTGCACACTGCCTGGGTATCTTGTTTCTTTGTACGGTTGGGTAAACACACAGTGTGTATTTGTAAAGGGCTGAAGAACAGGGTCACTTGGAGCATTTTCTAGTTGGGATTCAGCAGGGGAGCCTGTTAAAGGCTTTCTTGATGTCAGGGCATAGGCTTCTTCAAACATAGGCAAAAGCCTCTAGAAGTCTTTATATGTTCCAGTTCTTCTCAGTAAGGAGAAATGGGAGACAACTTGTTATGTTAATAGTGATTACTACTAATAAGTAAATATAATAAAGGTATTAAACATATCTTATTACATATAGTAAAAATAAATTACAAACAACCTGCAGTAACAGCTAACATAACTCCCTGTAAAGTTCTTACAGATGAAGTCGCAGAACGTATGAAATTATCAGTGCAATTTTATACACAAGGGATCTTGTAATAAGGTTAACAATCTGTGTGTGGCACTGAGAAGGAGCTACTGTATGGATGTTTAGTTGATAAATATTTCATACAAACATGTGGATACAGACCTCTGTTACGTTTTCAATCAAGTGATCTGTTCTGTTTCTATTGAGTTATTTTTAATTCAGCCATTCACCAAGTATTTGTTGAATGAATGAAATTTAACAGGGACAGACCTAGATGCCGACAGAGACAAATCCTACCTGCATTGGAGCCGATGTTCAAATGGTGAGAGAAAGGCCCTCCATGAGATACACAGGTCCATGTGTATGGTCCCTCAGGGGGACAAGTGCTACTAAATAAAAAATAGGGAAGAAGGAAGATTAAAAATTATGGTCACTATGGAGTCACCTTTGACTAGATTGAGCAGGGAAGGCCTCACTGAGAAAGGGAAGTTTTATTTAGTGTGTTCTCTTTAATATGGCAATACAAGGGGCATGAGGTTTCGAAACAGAAATACAGGAATTATAGAAAGGATGGTTGCCCAGGAGACTCATTATACTGAAGGAATTCGTTATGTTACTATGTTCAGTAAAGGCAGGAGCAAGTTTAGCCACATAGCCAAGGCAGATTTTATTTATTTTTTTTAATGGTAGCAAAGATGTTGAAATATACCATGAGCAATGGAAAATAGATAGATACAAGCAATGGAGTAAATGTTTGAAAAGTTTTTCAGATGTATATTTATAATTTCTCTAATCCTTATTCTGTACCCCATAATGCACTGTGGAGAGATGTCCACTATCTTGGCTAGTTTAAAACAGTCATACTCTCTATTCTTGACTGAAATATAGGGGACTTAACATGTATGAGACCAATAAAGTGGTTCCAAATAGCCATGATAATTTGTAAATAGTCTCCATCTTGCTACCTTCCTTTTATGTATGCATGTGTGCAGGCAGGTATGCATATAAGTCTACAAAAATAGATTTCTGAATTTGTGAACAGAGAGGAAAATCAGTTACAATCAACTGTAAATTCTATGTTAGTACTTTTAGCAGTAAGTAAAAGGCAGTCAGAATATAGAACTCTAATGCTGAGGAAAGTAGAGGAAAACAGTGAAATAATCCCATTAAATCTTTAATAGTAGCAAAGAAATTTTGTTTTAAATTAAATACTTAATTCTCGGAGGTGACTGGTATGTATGTAGGGCCAAGGAAAAAATTGATTCACATACGTGCATCCCAAGATACTAGGATAAAGCAACTGTGTCAGATGCTTGCTTGGAAACCATTGACCTAAGTAAGGATAAGTGTCATGAGCTCTTTGTAAAGACACGTGTTTTAAGTGGTTATCAGTAGGACTTAGAAGAGGCTAGATTCTGAGAGGGAAATCAGAGAAGATAAATGTGATAAAACAAGGGCATGTGAAAAGGGAAAACAAGAAGACCTAGTAAGGTATAATCTTCGAAAAGTACCTATTAAAATGATAAATCACAATTTATTTAAAATTGTGGTATTATTTTCTAGATTAATTTAGATCATCTAGGTTATTTTTGCATCAGGTGATGTGAGTTAGCATTTTTCCATCTTTAAAGGGTGTTTATGAATGTGTGTGTCACCTAAACAGTCTGCAATGTTTCTGTTTGGAAAAACACCAAAATTAAATAAATGACTTTGAAACACTGATAAAGTACTTGAGAAACAACCACTGTAAATATTCCACTGAAAGATGTATTAACTAGACATTTTCCAGCCCTTACTACAGCTAAGTATACAGAATAACGAATCTTTTAATTATGGGTTGAAAGACATTTTGAAATGGTTTATCTCCACATATATATTCTATACTGAAAGATTGCTTTAGAAGAGTTGACCTCGGTGTTGTGGGTTTATTGTTTGTTTTTATGCATTTCAACCATTGACACACACATATGTGTATACTAGAAAATACTGGATGGTACTGTTTTTTTTTTTCTTTTATCTTTTCCACAAATCAAAACCACCAGAGGCATAAAACAGTCCATAGAACTGACTGCATTTCTGAGGTTGTTTAAAATAATTTTGTTTTGTGATTACTCTGTATATTTATGGACCACTCACAAAGTTTACTGAGATTCACTGATTCATGCTTTGAAGCTGGTTAAATCTTGATGCTGTCCAGTTTTTGTGAAATAGTTGCATCTACATTATAAATGGAAGATTGTTATTTCTATATATATTTTATATTCAATTTCTACTGGCACATTAGTCCAGACTGTTCAGCTAAAAGAATTTTTTGAGTTCTTTAAGTATGCACTCCGTGTAGAATTGTAAAATATTTTCTTTTATTAGTTAAGCCAGAAACTAAACTTCTTTTCTTCCTCATGTATAAAATAATTAAAATAGGAAGCATAAAGTTTGATCTGGATTTAGAAAACTTTCAAAAATATAGTTTCTACTAAGTGCATCACTGATATCATCCACAATGCACTTTCTCTCACGGCAGCAGCAGTCCAGATGTGAGCGTGAGACAGAAACGAAGACATAAAGTACCAATACAAATGCACCTTGAATTTAAACACCACTCTGCTCACATGGAAGAAAAGCAGGGCCTAGGGAACACTCGAGTGTTTCACTGCTGCTTCTCTGCCCTCCTGCGACTTTTCCTCTTTCTTAATCACTTTACAGCTCTATATTCTACCACGGAGACCCATGCCGAAGTGGCATAACAATTATTTATCTTCTCTGACTCCGAGATCTTTAACTGCATTATTAACCTAAAGGCAGGTTGCAGACCTGAAAGACTTTCCGGGATGCTCTCTTGTGTTCTCTGAGACAGTGAAGACATTTTTTCTAACTTCTTTGTCTCCACCATAGCTCTAGTGAGTGGCTCTCAGCTGGAGGAAAATTTGTTTAAATACTTTGAAAATAATTCATTCTCTCTCATTTTCTTTCTGTCTTCTCTCTGTTTCTTTTACTTTCTTTTCCAGATTATTAGTTTATTAAATGTCTTCACACCCCAGAAAACGCTGGAGGAATTCCAAGATGTGTAAGTAACAAAACTCATGGAAGAAAGGAGTGTGTAGTACTCAAATAAGAGAAAGTGGCAAAAAGGAAAAAAAGTGTGAAGTCCCTTGTAGTGATCACAGGGAGGGAAGATCTGGACCCAATGCAAGCAATAGAGAAGTCTGCTGATGGAGTTCCGTACTGGAAAGCTGCTTCCGTGGCTCTGGCCGTCGGCTCTCTCTGCTTTGTTGTTCCATGTTCTTAGTTCAATCAGGGAAGGTTAATTTACTCTTTTCTTTTTTTAAAAGATTTATTTTTTATTTGAAAGTCAGAATTACATAAAGAGAGGGAGAGAGACAGAGAGACAGAGAGACAGAGAGAGTGAGCGAGCACTCTTCCATCCGCTGGTTCACTCCCCAAAAGGCCACAACAGCCAGGACTGGACTAGGCCGAAGCCAGGAGTCAGGAGCTTCTGGGTCTCCCAGGTTGGGGGTGGGGGCCCAAGCACTTGGGCCATCTTCCACTGCTTTTCCTGGCACATTAGCAGGGAGTTGGAGCTAAAGTGGAGTAGCTAGGACTCGAACCAGCACCCAAATGGGATGCTGGCACTGCAGTTGACAGCTTTACCTGCTATGCCACAGTGTTGGCCCCCCTAATTTCTTTCTTTTTTTAAGATTTATTTATTTGAAAGTCAGAGTTACACAGAGAGAGGAGAGGCAGAGAGAGAGAGGTCTTCCATCCAATGGTTCTCTCCAGATGGCTGCAACAGTTGGAGCTGCTCTGATCCAAAGCCAGGATCCAGGAGTCTTCTCTGGGTCCCCCATGCGGGTGCAGGGTCCCAAGGACTTGGGCCATCTTCTGCTGCTTTCCCAGGCCACAGCAGAGAGCTGGATTGGAAGTGGAGCAGCCAGGACTCAAACTGGCGCCCATATGGGATGCCGGCGCTTCAGGCCAGGGCGTTAACCCACTGTGCCACAGCGCCAGGCCTCCCTAATTTATTTCTTACTAATTAATTCTGAAAGCTATTTAGAATAAGTCAATTCACTTTGAAAGCTATTCATAAAAGGAACATGATAAAATTATTGTTTCTATTTTTGTGTTTGTATGACATTTTTTGCCAAAAGAACTGTACTAAAAATATAACCTCAAGAAGCAGCAGAGAGGGAGTGATTCTCAGCACATTGTCCTTCAACATAGATGCATTGTATTCAGCTGAAGTGCTGTTCTGCATTTTTTTCTTATTTGTAATCACACTACTCAGAAAAAAGTTGAGGGAATACAGGGAACAGTAAGAACAAGATGAAGGTAGAAAATATGTGAGCATGAACCAGGCATCAACAAATGTTCCTTTCATTAACGACTGTAGTAGAGCTACCACAGCTAATCCACACACAGTTCTTGGAACTTTTACACGTTCTTGGTTCAAATCCAGAGCTGGGACGTTCAGGAGACTTACAGATTCAGACTTTATTGACTGAGAGTGGGAGCAGATTGAGACTTCGTTGAAGGACTCCCTAGATCTTGTGATCCAGAGCTAACATCGTCATTTTGCCTTCCAGCTACCTGGTCATGGAACTGATGGACGCCAACTTGTGTCAGGTGATTCAGATGGAATTAGACCATGAGCGAATGTCTTACCTGCTCTATCAGATGTTGTGTGGCATTAAGCACCTCCACTCTGCTGGAATTATCCACAGGGTAAGAACATCTACTCCAGAATTTAGTTAAGACACTTTTGGAGAAGAGAGAGAGCAACTATAGTTTACTTTCTTTATGCAGGAGCAGTTGGTCAAATTGAGATACGTCCTCATTTTTTTTTCCTGATAATAGCATTAGCGCATGGTTCCCGGAGGTGCATTAGGAATGTCTAGCTTTACTGCAGGAGGTTTTGTTTGATGTGATCTTGCAGCTCATTGAGAGGCAACTTCTGAGAGCCCTCATGCTTCCTCGCTCCTTGATGGGCAGAGGTCATATGTGCGCTGAAATAAGACAGTTCATTTCCATAGTTCATCTCTGGCACCATAAAGACAGCTGCCCCAGTGTGCTCCGCTGTCAGGCCCAGAAATGAAATATAAACTGAAAGGCTTATGTTGCTCTGGGGGAGGAACCTTAGAGATGACAATAAATGACACTTTTTTTCCCCCTGAAATATCTTTCCAAGATGAGCCTATATTGTAAAAAAGGATACCACAGCTCTCTTCTGGGTTTGAAAATTTCCTGAGGATATGTTTAAGATTCCAAAACAAATTGTACACTTCTCTGAGCAGGAATCTTGTAGCTCCTAAAGGGCTTTGCAGGCAAAAGCCCCCCATCCAACCTACTAGAGGCCACCACGTTGATTGCATACATGGAGTTCGCATGTTCCCAGGAGGCTGGCTTTTCATTTCCTCCTATGTTCCTCTTTCCAGGATTTAAAACCCAGTAACATTGTAGTCAAATCCGATTGCACGTTGAAAATCCTCGACTTTGGACTGGCCAGGACAGCATGCTCCAGCTTCATGATGACTCCGTATGTGGTGACACGTTATTACAGAGCCCCAGAGGTCATCCTGGGAATGGGCTACAAGGAGAATGGTATGGATGCTCTAGCCTCAAAACTGGTGAAAAATATGGATTCATGCTTTAGATAGCTTGGAGCAAGCTTCTTTTTCCAGTCTATGAATTTAAAAAAAAAAAAAAAAAAAACAGGGCTGCCAGCTTTCATGTTCAGAGTATTTTTTTAAACACCCCTAGGAAGAAACACTCATTTAAAATGTAAAGGATGTTACTGAGAAGTAAGCTTTGCTAGAAGAGCACGAAAATGTTATCACAAGAAAGAATCGCAACTGGAGTCTGAACAGCCAGGTGGATACAGATCAGCATGCACACCTTAGATAGTGAGAAAAATTGTTATTTAGATTGTAGCTCAGCTCATGGTGGGTGTGAAAATCAGAAAAACACTATTTCATTGAGCCATTTGGCTTTTATGTCCTATCTTAGAAGGATGGCTCTAGTCCAAGGGAAAGATGAAAAGATCACAAACCCTTGGAATAAGAATCTAAGCAAACACTAAATAAATTGTAAAACTAGATAGAATAATCCAAATTATTCATGTTGGATGAGAGTTGAATACTTCACACTTTTCTAAGTAGTAAGTAAGATGGCAGTTGCCTAGTAAACCTTAGTGAGTTCCAGAGACTGTAGGAAGGAAAAATATTAAAACTTACCATGTTACTTTCATAAAGAAAGTCTAGTATTCATAAGCTGTTTAAAAGATACAGAAAGCATCTTCAACATATTCCAATTGGATCTTATTGATTAAAATGAAGGATTTATAAAATACCTGACAGAAAGCATTACAATATGCTATTTTGATTAGACTATCTCTTATAAGTAATGCTGTATATTAAAACATATCCAATATACTTATACATTAAAATTGTTTTAAATTACAATTGTATGTATATACTCAATGTACTTTTAATACTTATTTTTATATTCTATTTCATTCTTAGCCGTCTGTTTTACTAAGTGCTATATGGATGATTATTAATATATCTTAATGTATAAGCATACACAGTACTTTTGTGAAAATTCCATGACACTAGAAATTAAAAAAAAAAAACTTTTCTTTGTGAGTCTTCAGGTTAGAAGATGGTCATTCGCACAGAGGAAGGCATAAAGCCAGCTCTTAAGAAGTTCAGGTTCACCTTGGTGGCCAGTGTCAGAGTTCTGGTACCTTTTGATTGGGAAAGGTGAATCTTATCCTCCAAGCACGGAACTCTGTTGCACACATTCTTCACCAGCTACTTTTTTTTTTTTTTAAATCAAAGGGAAATTAATGAAAGAAAGCTCAAGAATTGCAACTATACAACTATACTATACTGGGGGGCAGTGTCTGAGTTAGCCTAGTCTGGCTTTTAAGATATTTGCCAAGCAGAGGGCTGGCAGTCAAACTCCTTTTGGCTCCCTCACTAGGAAAGCTTGCAAGTTGTTGCCTTAGGTTTTTTGCTTCTCTAGGTCCGTGGAGAAGGTGTGCCTTGCACGCTCGTGCTGCCTTCCCACCGACAGGTGGGTTATCATGCAGAAGCCCGCTTGCTCCCACATCAGGCATGCCCTGCTGTCCTCTGCACCCAACCCTGCCTGCCTTCCCCATGAAGCAATCAGCCTAATATTTCTGCCCCAGATTCTCCTTTGTCCTTAATAAAAAGTGGGTTGAAGGGCAAAAAAGGTTAGTAAGCAAAGGTGACCCATGTTGGCTTAGTAAGCATGACGACTGGGACATAAATGTATGTACTTAACAAGTGTTAACACTTCCCATACTTTTTTTTTCCACTTTACATTCAGATGGCTCCTTTATGCATATGCTTACGTACCACATATCTTTTTCCTTGAACTATTTCATGTAGAAACTAAAACTGACACTTTTTTCTAAGGATAATTTCTGAAGGAAATACTGAGTTCCAAATACCAGGAATTCCAGTTCTTCCTCGTGTGAATTGTGGTTTCAACCATTTCCCAGTTTCTTGGATTTCATAGAACACACCTTATTTTGGACCGAATAGGGTTCTTATTGTCCTATTCCATGGAACTGAATAGAATAGAAAATGGAAACAATTATCTCTACAGGTTGATTAGAAGTTATTTTCTCTACATCCAGCAAATGATAGTGGAAACCCCTCAGTAGTTTTTAGCCACTGTCTACCATACAGATACTTTTGGCTTATCTACTGCTTTTCCATGTCACCATTTTGTGGCCCTAAGGAGGTACTCCAAGGCACCCATAAAACAGTTTTGTTTTGTTTTTAATAGTAATTTGAGTTGTTTTCCTAGGCACTGTTTACATACTAGCACAGTACTTGTTTTAGTTGAATTTTGGCCAACTTTTGATGGGAGGCAAAAATTGTACCTTCTAATCAAACTGTTCTTTTTCCTCCTCCTTCCCGAGGTCGATGATCTTAGTTAACCTTGCTTTCCTCCCTTTTCTTCACTTCCCTCTCTTTCCTGTTCTAGTGGATATATGGTCTGTGGGATGCATTATGGGAGAAATGGTTCGCCACAAAATCCTCTTTCCAGGAAGGGACTGTATCCTTGTACCTTTTTGCTGCAGCTTTACCTGTTTTGTTCTCTCTCCCTTTAAACACATAATGATTTTGCCAGGAGAGTAAAGATAGAAGCAAAAAGTTGGGTAAGTTGTATAATTGTAATAAAAAGTGATAATTTCTGTAATCTGACCAGTACTGAAGATTACCTACCACAATGATTTCTTTTAATTAATTTTTCATAGTCTTTATTCTTCTAACTTTCTTGCCTGTAACTCAAAATAGCAATGCTATTTTTTTTTTATAAATAATAGAGGCCCACTGACCCCAAATGATTAAAACAAATTCATCTTTATACCTAGCAAAATAACTGTTTGGAAGTCATTTCTGTCATCTTCCTAAAACTATTTTATGTGTATAAAACTTTAAGTGCAGTAATTTCTCTTATAACTGGCATTCTAAGCCTCTGCCTATGGCTTCACCAACTGCAATGACTCTTGACAGCATATCCAGTCTTAAATAGGTCAATAGAGCATATCCATCTCAAAACATGAACTTCTACATTTAAAATCATAATTATTAGTCAAGTTGCCAGCGGACAGGTGAGTTTCCTAAATTTACATGGAGATGTGACAGAGAAATAGAAACGTGCTTTGCCAACTAAACTTAGAATTTTACGAAGCAGTATTGATTTGAATTCTACTACTGAGTCCTTCAATAGAGTCCATGAGAAATGTTAGAGCTATGTGTAAATTAGAATTATTAAATGAGGTGGTATATTTCTTAAATGACCAAAATTTCATTCTCTATAAAGGGTACATATAGGTATTTGTAATATAGAGATAATAGTTCCCATATAAAGGGACTATACTTTTAAATTTTTAAAAAGATTTATTTATTTGAAAGATAGAGTTACACAGAGATAGAGGGAGACACACTCCCTAGATGGCCAAAATGGCCAGAACTGGGCCAGGCTGAACCTAGGAGCCGGGAACTCCATCTGGGTCTTCCATTTGGGTGCAGGGGCCCAAGGATTTGGGCCTTGTTTTTGTTGTTGTTGTTAAAGATGTACTTATTTATTTGAAAGGTAGAGTTACAGAGAGAGAAGGAGAGGGAAAGAAAGAGAGAGAATGAGAGAGAAAAAGATCTTCCATTCTCTGGTTTACTCCTCAATGGCCTCAACTGCCAGAGCTGAGTCAGACCTGAGTCAGGCCGAAACCAGGAGCTAAGAGTTTCATCCATGTCTCCCACGTGGGTGCAGGGGCCCAAGTACTTGGGCCATTCTCAGCTGCTTTCCCACGTGCATTAACAAGGAGCAGGACTGAAAATGAAGCAGCTGGGACGTGAACCAGTGCCACATGGGATGCTGGCACTGCAGGCAGCAGCTCTACACAATGCCAGCCCCTTTAGACTATATTTTTATAAATACAGAAATAGCTTTCTACCGAGAACTAGTACAAATCTAGTATACTTGATAGCTTTATCAATGACAATGCAGGGTAAGTTCAGTATATTGATTACATATGAACTTTTTGGAAATCAACACAAAAGAAATGGCCTACCACTCTATTTTTTTATTTGATCAGTAAATAAGCTGTACTGAAGAACTCTTTATTGTATAAGAAAGGTTATGTTTTTTGTTTAAGTAGCAAAAAGGCTAATAGTACTAAAACAGAAAAATTCAACCAGACTCAATAAGAAGTTGATACCATAATGGGTGTGCATTTAGGTAGGCATTTATTCATCCTCCTGGATGTTATGAGATATTTTCTAAATTCCACTAGTAATGTAACAGCAATGGCATCTTCTAGCACTGTACTAACTGCTTATAGAGTACTTGAAATTGTAGCTAGTCCGAATGGAGATGTGCTGCATATGTAAAAAATATATGAAATTTCAAAAAAATTTTTTTAGATTTTTATTTATTTGACAGGTAGAGTTATAGTGAGAGAGAGAAAGAGAGAAAGGTCTTCCTTCCATTGGTTCACTCCCCAGATGGCTGCAAAGGCTGGAGCTATGCCAATCCAAAGCCAGGAGCCAGGTGCTTTCTCCTGGTCTCCCATGCAGGTGCAGGGCCCAAGGACTTGGGCCATCCTCCACTGCCCTCCTGGGTCACAGTAGAGAGCTGGATTGGAAGAGGAGCAATCGGGACTAGAACCGGCGCCCATATGGGATGCTGGCGCTGCGGGTGGAAGATTAACCTAGTGTGCCATGGCACCAGACCCCCAGATTTTGAAGATAAAAAAGTAAAATATAAACATTAATAATTTCGGCCGGCACCGTGGCTCACTTGGCTAATCATTCACCTGCAGCGCTGGCAGCCCTTTCTCTCACTAACTCTGCATGAAAAAAAAATAGTATTAAACAGGTGTTAATTTTAACAATCCATGGTATTTAGCCAGTATTTGCAATATACTATCTAGCACATAGTCAACATGAAATTATTAATTATTTTTTGCCAGGCAGAGTTAGACAGTGAGAGAGAAAGACAGAGAGAGAGTTATAGACAGTGAGAGAGAGAAAGAGAGAAAGGTCTTCCTTCCATTGGTTCAC